ATTTAAGACTCAGCAATGGTCGTTATAAAGAGATGTCGCACAGTGCCTCCCATGTACTTTTATCAAGTGTTACATCGTAAATATCGAAGCATAAGCTTGACTTACTGGTCGATAAACAATCTTCACCAGCGATTCCTCCTTGTTGATGTCCTACAGCACACGAATGCCATGGTTTCCTCCCAGCTGCTGGTCCATTTCAGAGTAGGTGTCTACGACTTTGTTCCATCCAGTAACATCCCCTCTTTGTAGGGTTTCTGAACTTGGCACAAAGTTTTATACAAAGTCCCTCCACAATTCTGTTTATGGCAGGAGAAGCCACAGGTACCCCTGTACCCAGAAAACTTCTGAAATTTAATAAAACTTGTCCATCGCATTTTTGAAGATGGCCATGCAAGATGTTCAGAAAGCTTCTGTGACCTTATTCACAGATGGTGAAGCAGCAGGCAATGCTGGTGCAATAGGAGTCCATTTTCAGTTGTCTGTGCCCCGTCTCTTTCCTTTTAAACAAAAGGTTTTATTTTCTATTTAACTACATATAGAAATCAAAAAAGACTATGGCATGGTCAGATGTAATGGTCAATCTTCTTCGTTGCTAATCGTCAGCCCACTAATTAAAAAAAAAAAAAAATCAATTATATAACGCACGCATATAATGATAGGAAATCCTTACTGACAACAAAAGAACAAGTGTACACATTTTATTTCCTTTATTTATTTTTTTAATTATACTCCAGTGTTCCTCTCACTCAAGTACATTTTATAGAGCTGACCTATTTTAATCTTTATTGAACCTGTTCTTCTCCTTCTTTGACTGTTTCAGCCATGGGTGCTCCTTCTTTGACCGTTTCTTCCATGGGTTCAGTATGGCACTTCATCTTTAAAAAAAGCGTTAAATGCATAACATTTCAATGTAGTATGGCATATACATGTAACCATAACTAAATCAGTTATATTCTTATTGCTGTACTCCCCCAATCTCCTTTCGCCGTGGTTGGCCACAGGAACTGCAGGCAAAAAATCTTTTTTCATTTTATATCTGCCCACAGTTCCCTCCTCCTCTTGTGCTTTTCTTTTTTTTTGTGGTACCAGGAGGTAGACTTAGGCATGGCAAAAGATGGTTGAGTACTGAGGGGCATGGCACTCCCTTTTTTTAAAAGCACTATTTGATTTCATTTTTTTCTTTTTTTTTCTTTAATTTTTTCAAGAGTCATTTTCCTCCAATCTTCGTATGTCAAAGCACTGTTAGGGCAGTGCCAATACCCCTTTAGTTGCCTGTGCCCAACCTCCTTGCGCCGTGGTTGGCCACAGGAACTGCAGGCAAAAAACTTTTATCATATTATACCTGCCTACAGTTCCCTCTTCCTTTTCTTCTTAGGCCTTAGGCTTCTAGGGTGCCATACGGGTGTCGTCCGCAGTCCTCTCAACCACAATATCCATATTAGATCGTCTTATGTTTCAAAATCACAGTCAGCGGATGGGATAATTACTACCCTCAGGCGCTGAAAGTGATTTGGCGGAGCCATAGTTTTAATTAGGGTAAAGAGGAGAGCAACGAAATCTCCCACCGAATTTAGGTTGCCTCATGTAGGACACCACCCCATTAAAATTATTAGATGGGGAAAACCTATCAATATATTTGTCAACATATCCTTCAGGGCCTCATTAGTTAATTCTCGAGGCGCCAAGTATCTAATAACATAAGCCCCTTCCAGTTCTGGCACTTGGCCTTCCTCGTTGGCTTTGATCACCTCTCGTAATGAGGAATTGCGCACAACGTAGGTATCCATAGTCGTGACTGACTCTATGAGTGCAGAACAATTAGTGTCAGAAAACACTGTGTAAGATGTTAATAACAGTGGGGGTTGATGTCTGATAAAGATCATCATGAAGTGGCTTACACCTGTCTGTGTAAGGGATGTTGAAATGAAAAAGTCCCGGGTTTGCCCAGTGACCTTTATTATGGTTTACCGAGTTCCTTGGTTAAAAAGAAGATGAACTACGGACACGGATTCAAATCTAGTTTGATAAAAGTTTTATTTTTTCACAATGATTACTACTTCATTGAATTTTGCTGTAATTTGTAATCTACAGGTAAATCCAAATTGTAATAAATTATAATAAGCGAGTCCAGAGTTCTTCGTAACCCAACCGGTTTCACCATAGATCTCATTGTAATACTTCATGGCTCTGGGTTGATTTGGGCATTTCACCGCTCTGGCACACTTTGTGAAGCTGGAGCCTCTAGAAAAATCAAGATTTTTGGTTTGGTTTTAACAAAAGGTTTAATTTTTTGTTTTTTCTATATAACTACATATAAAAATCGAAGAAGACTATGGCATGGTCAGATGCAATGGGCAATCTTCTTGGTCTTAATCGTCAGGCCTGTAATTAAAAAGAGAAAAGAAAAATCTATTATATAACGCACACATATAATGAAAGGATTTTCATATCAACAAAAATTCAANAGTAACGGTTGGGGTCGAACATTTTACATACTCATTGTTCTGCACCCCAAGCACTGGTCTCTGCATGCTCTTGAAAGCAGTCATTAAAAAACTGCAGCAGCTTCCCCTGATGATTTAGCTTCTTTTGGTTGTAGCTTGTATACGTCGTTAAGGGATGACAAGGTCCTGTTGCTTTTAGAAGCAATGTTCTTTACAATGTACGCATCGAATGCCATCATATGAGTACAACTACAATATTAACATTCTTAACACGGTATACAAACTTTTCTAATCATTAGGTAATATAGTAATGTTCACATTATTTATATATGTAAGAATAGTTAAATTAATATTTAACTTACCTCTTCGTGCAGATCACTGCATGTGTATGCAAACTGGTCCATGACCATTTTGCTCATCACTGGATCCTTATATAACATAGGCATGGATCAAGCCTGGATCCATGGCTTAGTTATGCACACAAAACGTTACGCAGCACGCCCTAAGGGACATGCACCCTATCCTATGAGCTAATGTCATTAGCTCTATGACATTATCAGCGTCTATATTATCTTTAATTTTGGTTGAACAGTTTTCCTCCAAATAGACTCCATGGTGAGTTGAGAAGTATATGAGACCGTAGTTTGAAACATTGTATTTCTACCCCTCTTTCCCTAGTCTCCGCCAATCTGTATTATGAACAGAAATGATTGACAGCTGATAATCCCCTACCCCCACACCCATGTTCAAGTCAGCTTATCACACCCCTTTTGGCGCTACACCCCCACCCCCCTAGTTAAATTCACGTAATGATATGTTATTTCTTAATTTGTGACTGTTACTGTAATCATTGCAGTTGCTGCGACGAGTGCTCTGCAATGTTATCCCATTCCAACTGTTGTAGTAACAGTTGTAGCAATAAATCAAAATAAAGGTAGGGATGCAGACTACAGCTGAACTATTGAGACTGGTCAATTCCAGAGATAATTGGGCTGGAAAAAGAAGTTAACTACGAGTTCTTTGGTTAAAGCTGGGGAATCGCTTGAAATAATTATGTTCCGTTCTTTATACGTCCTTTGACACAACAGCTACCCATTGAGCAGTTTTCTTCTAAAATTCATACATGTCTGATGTACCAAATTTTAATATTCTCGTTTCCATTTGGTTGCCACTAGTTTTACCAGAAATTCCAGTGAGACATCATACCTGCACAGTGCACTAGCTGAACATCCCGCTATATCCATACGTAGTCGATTCACCTTGTGAGTGACTTGGCAATCACCAGCAAGATCACCATTTTCAAGATATAAATCTCATTATTATTATTGATAGAACTGCAAACTTTTTTGCTCGTGTATAGTAGATTTATAGGTTTAAGTAGTGTTGCTTTCAGTGTCTAACACATGTTGTTGAAGAAGAATTGGAAAAGTTATACAATTTTATATATATATATTTGTATGTTATCTCAGTGTCAGAATTTTCAGAACTTGGAAGAGTTCCTATTTTTTTCACTTGATTGAACATAAGTGCCATTTGATCATTTTCAAAAGACAATCTAGAATTGGTATTTGTTCTTTGCCATCTACTAGGATCCTTGCATTAAGAAAATAACTTTTGCGGGTTAATTTTGTAAGTGAATGCACTATGAACTTCTATTATAAATTGTAAAAATCCAGGCCCCTGGCCATATATTGTCACATAATGAGAAATTTCAGACCAGTGCGATTTACATAAGCAACCTATAGTGATCTTGGTGGTGCCGGGTCAAAGGAAATTTCCAAGAGAATTGTATGGTTTTATAAGAAAATCGAATGGATAAAACTTGTTCTCTATTATTGATAATATTAAATTTTGTCTTGTAGCAGGGAGGTAAGCAATGAGATTGTTATTCAAAGTACGTATTGTTTTCTTTGTACTACTGGTTTGATAGGGTTCAGAGTGTACAAAAAAAGAAAAGTGACCAGTGAGGGGAAATAGGACCCTCATCAAAGGGACAGTTACCAGACCCTAACTTTGGACCGATCCATCTCCAAGGGGATTCCTGCTAAATTGTAATCAACTTTAGCGGCTTAGATGTCTGTCACGCCTTGTGAAGCTGCTAATTAACTGTTGTTTAGTGGCTTCAGTAGGCATGCCAAACATCTAAGCTTAAAGCAATTTAGCAAAAAACCCATTGAAGATAGATCGATCTAGGTATAGGAACTCATTTTCTCTCACTAGGCACTGTTCTTTTGTATTACTCCTATCTGTTCTGTTTTGTAGAAAAATGTTAAAAGAAAAAGCACATTTTAAAGAAGCAGTTAAAAAATTAAGGTTATGATGAATAAAGTGTTTGTAAAGAATTCCGATAAATGGCATGTTTTGTGAATGATTTTCTGTAAATTTATTCTGAAATGCTTTCTGTACAATAATAAATATATTTTTTTCAAATATTTCTGACTTGTTGTCAGTATCTAGTGTACCTTAGAACTTGATAAAAAATGGGTTAATATCAATTACAGTAATACAAAGTAGTATATTAGTTTATGAAGCCCATTTCTACACAAAGAGACCAAATGTAAGTGATTTGTCTTTATTTTTCTCGCTCCTACAAAATTACAAAAGGCAAAATAAAACACATTCCTCTTCATCAGGAATAAATTGTAACTGCAGTGATAATTTGACAGTCAGATTGTTCTCCAAGGCTCTGGCTCCCATTTCACTAATCAGATGAGAAAGAAAGAAATAATACAAACGTGATGACTTTTTTTTCAAAGAGGATCACAAATTTCTATGATGATAGCAGATTTCTTTGCCACAATATAATCAAAACTTACACATACACGAAATATAAATCGATATCACAGACTTTTCTTTTGGAACAGTAACATAAAACTATATGGAAAAACATCTTGAAAGTTAAAACTGGTCCAAAAGATAATTATCCTCATTCAGTTTTTTCCCCTTATACAAGCAGTCTTGCAGCCAGTTAAGTTTTACAATCTTCAAGTCTTCATTTTCTTCACTCCACCTCTGGAAAATCTATTAAATAAATTGAGAAATATATTGGTTTAATTTACCTTGACTACATGAGGTGTCACTTTAATGTCATTATGATTACTGTAATCAAGCCAGGAATTAATAGTTGATCTCTGAACAGGAAAGATATCTTTTTTTAAAAAGATTAACAATACATTCGGACCTATCTGGCTACCAGCAACAATAACAGTATTTCTTGCAGCTTTCTGAAATGATAACCACCTTGAAGCTGTAACATTTCCAGGTAAAATGATAGACCGGAAGTTGATGTCTGCTTTATATATGAAACCAATTGTCAATTGCACAAATTGCAATTATGCATCCACTTTTCAACAAAAACACGGGTTAAATATTTATTTTTGCTAAGATTTATAATCAAAATGTTCCTAAATTTTTCAACATCTACCTCAGTGTCTTCTTGCTTCTCACCGTTGATGAGTATGTGTGTTGTGCTTTCATCCACGTCTCTGGAGACGTCTCCATCATAAGTGAACATTGTTAAAGAATTATAACACACTTGGAATAAATGAAAATTGATTTAAAAGACCTTATTTCACTCTGAAGCAATGATCTTAACAGGATAACAACTGTTCATTTTGGCCAAAAAAAAAAAAAATTTTTTTTTTCCTGGGGTAAATGGCAATTTTCCCAAACTTGCCAATGGTTAATGAATCCATTTCTACATTCAAAGTTAGTTCCTGTTTGATTTCTAAACATACGTAAAGCCATCTATGGAGGTCACATGGTCCTATGACAAACACTGATTTCAGAATAATTGCTATGACTGCTGTTTTTGTTTTAAAATAGAAAATCAATTTCCACGAGTTGTTTACAATGTATTTATTGTAAAATATAGATCTCTTAGAAAGAGTTGTTATCCCTTTAAGAAGACAGTGGCTGACAATTTCTCCACTGCAACTGGATAAAATCAAAACTTCTCAACTTGCTGATAAACAACTAAACATGGAAGTAGTCTTGAGCTTTGAGTGCAATTAGGTTAACTGAATGACACACACTGGTTTAATCACCAACATTTCTGTATTGCAATCAATATCATCAAAACTCAGCAAGAGTCCCCACAGAGTTTGGTCAATCTTAGTAAATCGGGGCTCTGTAACTCGAAATCATTGCAAATTGTGACTGAACAAAAGTGTCTCTTTTCCATAACTCAGAATTTACTCGCCCCATATAATAGCCTCAAAATGTAAGGTGAAATTGCTATTCGCAATTCGCGATGAGATCAAGTTAGGGAGCCCAGTAGTCTGATCTCCAGTATTGGTAAAAGGATATGCTACAAGGTATCTCTTCAGTTTCTTGGCTTCTTTTTCAGGAATGTGGTGAAAGTATGCGTTCACTCCCTGCATGTAAACTGGGAGGGAGGAGCTGGAGGAGGCACTGGGGACTTTGTCACTTGGTTTTCTCTCTGGAAAAGAACAATGGACAAGAATGAATGAATGGTGTTTCAGAGAGAAAGTTAAATCCCTAAAAAGATGGAGACTTGTGTGCAAAGGATGAACCATCAATTGACCGAGAGAGATAAAATGGCAGAAGAATGAGAGAGAGAGAAATTGACAGAAGAGAGAAAAATTGACAGAGAAAGAGTCTGAGTATGAGAGAGGTTTCTTACTAGATTTTTGCTCACAATCGTCCGAGTGCCTTCGTTTTGCTGCTTTTTTTCTGGGATAATAGTATCTTAGTTCAAGTAAAGGTGAATATTCCTACATTTCTAAAGTTATTACGGGAGACTGAGATAATTGCTGAATATTAAAAATGCACTACACAACATTGAAAGTACAAAGGACCAAGGAATAAATTTTTAATTAAAAAGTTACTTAAAAGTTTTCACTCAAAATGTGCTTCAACTTTCTTATCATGCTTGAAGACAACAAAATTTTAAAGCTATAAAACTTAATATTGTTTGCAAGATTTTAAATAAATTAAACCTGCAGATTTATTAAGCCTCCAGCATGGAACTAACAAAATCCAAAGGATACATGTATGTCGGAATGCCCTTTGCTGCTAGCCATTTTCTGATGAGGCGCTCCGTGCCGTACCAGTTGAACCCAGGGGTATTGTAGCCTATCCTGGGGAGATGGACACTGGCTAAAAACACCCAGAACAATTGAATGTCACTACCAGAACATCTCAACAAAATAATAACAGATTCATCAGGCAAAACTCACAACTGCGTTAAGAATTGGTTTATAATTGATTGAACGAATCAAGTAATTTCGTTTCCATAATTCTCTTCGTGATTTCTATAATCTCTCTTCAGATCAAACAGCAAAATTACCATTTCTCTGTTTGGCAACTTTATATAACCTCTGAAGTCCCTCCTCCAGTGCTGGAAGCTTTATTCCAGACAACTTGTTCTTTCTGTCTCTGTGTTGTGTGACTATCAGGGCAGCCTAGTGTGGAGACAATATATAGCACTAATAAACTTAGTATGAAGACAACAGACATGGGCATTTTCAAGATGGTAGACCCCACACCCCACCCTCATATTGCCATTTTTGGTCACTTCCTACAAAATTCAGCAATGTTTTAAAACTAATTTATTCACATGGAGGACATTCCCTAGAAAGATGATAACCCCAGCTCATCTATGTTACATTTTGATAATAAAGAAAAGAGGGACAGTTTTCTGATTTATTGACTGGGATCTATCCTACCCTGCGCTTTTGATAAAGACATGTTAACCCTAAATTCCATATTGGTGTTCTAGCTTTGGATTTAATTACAATTTAAATACTTATGTAAGTACAGTGGCAGAGAACAACAATTCCTTAATTAATACATATTTATGCACGGAGCAAAAAATAAAAAGTAAAATAAAATAAAATATACAAATGCCCAATGCAATACTTTAAAAAATGATCATCTTTATGGGTTATATATACATATTGAATCATGCAAAGAGAATTCTAATTGTCAATTTGTAACAGATAACTGTCTATAGCTACAGACTGTCAGTAGCCTATTACAAGTTACATAAATAATTCACATGTGGTATTCATACTTTTGCTGATCAGTGTATATTTAGAGTGGATTAAGTCAGTAATTCCTACCATATCGCTTCCCTTCTCTCTACTCTGAAGATCATCCACTTGTATGATGTGTGTATCACCCAGCGCTAAGTCTGGAAGTACACATAATACATATTACAACATAGCCACTTTTCCTCTAACATTCTTCAGCAGAAAAAAGAGAATGAAAATAAATGAAAAGGGGTGAATTCTTTAACTTTGAGGTAAATTTCTAAAAGGATGAATTATAAAGTGCTCTGCTGTAAAAATGCTCAACTCGTTGTCCTGAATTGCCTTAGGTGACAACAACTTCTGAAATATAATTTAACAAAATCATAGATGTACTGTTTATCACTGAATTACTGACTACCTCTCATGCTGCCTGCCAGTTCATACTGTATTTCTGGCTGTTGTGATCTGGCAGAGAGAGCTGAGAACAAACCTCCAGACCCCCAGTTGCCAGAGTCATCTGAAAGTAAACAATAAACATTTTATTTCTATGTATGACATCCCAAGTTTTTAGTAAAGGAAGATCAGCAAACAGTGGCAGATTTGGGGGGGGGGGGGGATGATCAGGTGGGTACTGATTCCCCCCTCCCCCTTCAACTTCTGAAAAAAAAATCACACCAATGGTTCCCTCTTGAAATTGGAATTTTGACTAGCTGAATCATTGTTTTAAAACGCACCAAATGGCACTGCTTACCCTCTAAAATAAAAAAAACTTTATGGTTCCCTTCCTCGGCACGGAACCCAACCCCAACATAATTTATCTAGGAAAAATATTTTTGATCAGTGGCTATAATTTAAAACACCAGTGTCAACAAATATTATTACAAGTATAAATAACACCAATATTAGACAGTGTTCAATTGTAATTGAAAATACTATGGCTAATAAAAGAAATGTAGTCTGGTCAAGTGTGCCCATGTACCAGAATCATACTTACCCACACAATGTACTATAAAGGCATCTTCATCTCCTGTGTGACTAGGATGTGTGACATCACCACTGACATAACAAATCTGTTGAGAACCTCCCCCATCTTCCTCCTCCTCTTCCTCCCCCTCGCTGTCCAGTTCTACATTACAGGAGGTGTAGTTGTTTGCGGCCCACTTCTCTTCCCTGAATTTCATGTGTGAAAGAATTTATCAAAATAGAATGATTATGAACTGGAAGTATATATATGATGTACTGTAATTACACTGTTTATTTTAGTAATATATCTTTAAGAATTTTACAATAGAACGTGTGTAATTATATTGTTTGCAAGGGAATTTTGCAATATTTTCTCCCATCAAATGTGTGCAGCAATGACATACAATAATCTTTGTTCTATCAATATCATAAGGCCCGTAGCCATGGGGGGTTCGAAAGAACCACCCCTTTTGCTGGGAAAAGGTTCACTCTGGGTAAAATTTGATCTAGGTACATGAAGTTTTTATGGGAAAAGGTCCACTTTTTCAAAAAAAAGAACCCCCCTTTTGAAATTGCTGGCTACGGGCCTGATCATATCCACAAATCTCCCTTTAACATATTTAAGACTAAAACCAAAGGAAAACCAATATCTGTCAAACAAATTCTTGCAAGGGAGTTCATGTATACAGTACACTATTTCACTCTTCACCTTTTCGCAGATAATGACATGTGTGCAGGGTTAAACCACTGACTGCATTCTGGTTAACCCCACAAGTTCATCATCGGGAATAGGCATGCACATGTACAACCATTGCAAATGGGTTTACCGCACTTGCACGTCCATGAAAAGCTGAATTAATTATAAACCAATTTCTCTCCCTCCCTCTCACTATTTAGTTATTCTAGAACAAGGCAGCAAAGCTGTCAAATGTACAGACAAAAAACAGAAAATAAAGATGCAAAAAAGGTCATTTTGTCAATTTTGATGCAATAATAAATAATGCTTATAATAGCACTGTCAGTCAACACTGAATTTTAATCTTGCACAACAGGTAACATGGTCAATAACAGGAGCGGACCCAGAGATATTTTCTGACAGTATAAAGGAAAACAACAAAACTAGAAAAGCACTTTGAGAGTGCAGACCTCTGCCAAGGCAGCAATTGTTGATTATATNGTGTTATCGGTAAAAGTGCACGGCGACGGCGACGGCGGCGACGGCGACGACAGACGCAGATGATGGCTATATGTACAGACACATCTGTGTCTGTACATAAAAATGGTCATTTTCCCCAAAGTATTTACCTCCTCTGTCTTCTCTCCTGTGCTCGTCTCACCTCCTCCTCCTCTGCTTCTTGAGCTCTTCTAGCTGCTGTCTCTGCTCTCTGATATTGTATAAAAATTGTCAATGTATTAAGCAAGTTATGCCTCTTATATCTAAGTTATAAAACAGATAGTCATGAAGGATAATAGTCTACATGATTACCAAAAAGAGTAGCAATTAAGTTAAGTGAAAAATGTCTTTTTTCATCATGCTGAAACAGCATCAGACTTTCAACATGTCTGGATTTTTTTTTTCAATTTTTGCTATAATTATAGTCAAAATAACATGCAGCTTTAAAATGATGACAAGAACTTCACCTTTCTTTTCCTCTCTTCCTTCTCTTCCTCTGTGAGTTGTTTCCGGGGCTTTCTTGGAACATCAGGGAGTGCACTCAGCAGAAGACCTTTCTTCTTTCGTAGACTGCGCTCTGCTGAGGTGCTCTCTTCAAGTTTTGCCACTTCAGCTGTAAAAATATTATGTACACAAATATGTAATCATCAGTAAATGAATAAAACCAAATAAAAACATCTCATTTTTCAACAGATTTTGGGCTGAAGAAATAAATGATCTCTAACATTTTATCTGTCTAAGTGCAAAGAGAGTATCAAAGTGAAAAGTAAAACAAATTACTCCAATAATGTTTATTTCACAATATGAATACTATTATTCACTTCATTATATTTTTTGTGTAAATGACAATAGCAAAAATCTTAACAGTTGATAAAAAACTCTGTAGCCTAAGTTTTTAAAGTGAGAAGATTTGAGTCTTTTATAATCTCACCTGCCAGCAGCTGATCAAATGCTTTCTTGTCATCATCTGAGGATCCCTTGGAATAATCCTTGCCTTCAAACACATACATGTTCTCTACATCATCACTGCCCTCTTCTTCATCAGCCTGGAAACAGAAAGGTCAAGGTGAAGGTCAAATATAAGCTCCAGATATATGATAATACCCTTAGAATGTGTACAGTTAGATTAAAAATATATATTTATAAAATATAAATAACCATTTAGAATCAGCCTTTTATGAAAATGGTTTCAAATGTTTTGGTAATCAGCATATATCAACAAAAGAATTGACTTGTGAAATTTTATAACACAGTGTCACTTAATCTTTCATTTTTCTTATCAGGCTGTCATGACTCCAATAACAAAAAACGAAGGAACTGATGTGATATGTAAAACTTTTTTCCAGGAATTGATGTATTACAAAAAACAATTCCAGGACAGCACCATTACCAATTCCGCTGCTGTCTGCTCTACATCTTCTGACTGCCAATGTCCCTTCTTTGTGGGTCCAAGGATTTGATCAAAGTCCACCTCTTCCAGGGTTCCCTCCTCACTCTCAAACAGTTGGTCCACCCCAAACTTTAATATGTCCTGTAGCTGCAGGGAAAACACAGAATTAAAATAATAATTATTATAACAGTTAAGAAAAGACACCTGTAAGATAAATCTGATACATTCTGAATCGTAATATTTTGAAATTCTTTGCTTAAAAGCTACAGTTTGTCCTAATCTTAATATCAATATCCTGCACAACATCTGTATTCTAGTTGGAATTTATTTTTTCATTACACCACTCTGGCAGGCAAGGCAGTGATACCATTTCATCAATTTTGAAATTTCAAAAGGTAATGTCCCGCAAAATATATAGCAGGGGTGAAAATATCTAAATTTTCCATTTGGAATTTTTTTCTAGAAATATCTAAAGACGATCCCCCTTATGAAATATCTCTTTATTAAACCATACCTGAATGCTGTCATCTGCAATCAGTGCCTCCTTGTTCACAGACCCCGCCCCCAAAGAAAACTGCCCACCTTCAATCACAGACTGTGTGAGCTTTAACTTGGCCTCGGCTCTTCTGAGGACTATTTCTTCCACTGTGCTGCGGCCGATCAAACGCAGCACCTTGACAGCTCTGGGAATGTATTACATGATGAAAAATTTAGAAAATAATTCAAAACAAAACAGACTCATACCCATTTTGTGTATAACAACAAATAAAATGCTATCTTTAATGAAGATACAAGAAAAAATGCCAGTTTTACCTTTTCTGGCCAAAATAGCAAGAATCCCCTTGGAGATAGTTTGCTCCACAGTTAGTATGATAGGGTCTGGGAATGGTCCCTTTAATGAAGATACAAGAAAAAGTTTTACCTTTTCTGGCCAATCCTATGGGCGCGTGCTGCCGCCTGTAGGTCATTCTGTGGATTAAAGTCGCTGTCTATGAATATCACAGTATCTGCCGAGACGAGGTTCAAACCCTGGCCACCTGAATATAATAATATGTCAATTTTAACAAAGTCCCTCTTCTTTAGAAGATAATGTTTCTGAATTCATGGTCTTATCATCAGCAGCCCAAACAACTCTCACCTGACAATTTCAGTTTGACTGATTTTAAAATAAATTATCTACTTGTATGGTAACATACGTTTTAGAATCAAAACTTTAAGTGTTCTCGCTTTGGAGGAAAGCACTATAATGTTAATGCATATGCAATTTTTATCTTCAATTAACTTTTGATAGATTATGGTGGCATAATGATAAATTTTTTGGATCCTCAAAATAACATCGGATATTTTTAAATAGTGTATTGAAAAATGACAGCATTTTTTTTATCAAAACGTGTCGGGTCCAACAAAAATTACAAAAAGACTGCATATGCAAAAGCACTGACCACCCTTCCAACTGGACAACAACTCTACCTGCTTTTGTGCTGAGTAAAAAGATAAAAGTATCGTCCTGTTGATTGAAGTTCTGAACAGCAAGAAATCTTTCTTCTCCTCTTACTGAGCCATCCAATCTCTCATAGGAATAGCCTAGGAAGACAAAAACAAGTCAAGTTATAGAAAGTGTAGAGATATCATAGTAATAGCTGGCATAAGAGTAAAGTTGTCTTTATATACAAGGGCAGACGGCCGTTTAAAGGGGTCTTATCGACGACACCAAAGCCCATGTTGTCATCTGACACATCACACACGCACACACACACACACACACTGTGCACCTACCTCTATATCCCAGATAATCCTGTATAATGTCCAACATTCTGGTCATCTGAGAGAACAGCAGGACCTTGTGTCCACGCGGCCGGAGGTAGGCCAGTAACTGGTCGATGAGGACCAGTTTGCCACTGGCCTCTACCAGGTGCTCTCCGAGTTCAAACGGCTCAGGTTCCACTCCTGTGATAATATAACAGGATAAATGGTCAGAAAAAATAAATTAAGAAATAAAGAGGGATATGGACTCTTTATTTATACAATTAACAGAAATTACTTCATACCTACATTTGCAGGGCTTGACACTAACTTTTTTCTCCATTAGTCCCTTGGACTAGTGAGGTCTGGTAAAAATTACAAGGGTTACTTGGCATATTAAATTTTACTTGCCTTTCAAACCAGTAACCCTTGAGATTCACTGGCCTGAGATCAGTTTTCAGTAGCCCGATCCAGGGGGCCACCTTTAACGTCAAGCCTGATTGGTCAGTGTACAGTTCAAAGAAACCTGTAGCAAACTCACCATCAAAGAGGTAGGGGTGGTCCACACACTTCCTCAGCTGCATCAGGATGTTCATCAGGCATGTCTTTGGTGGTCCGTAAGGGTTGCCGCTTTCAAAGGCCTCTGAACATCAATACAAAGCAAATAGTTTGCAGCTCATAGTTTAAATGATAAATGACATGTACATTACAGGGTGAAAGTTGATAGAAGTTTTAAACCTGAAATTGTAGATGGGGGCTAAAGGTGATCAAAATGGAGAATAAAAAATGCTCAAAAAGAAGACTGATAATACGGAAATCCGTCAAAATCCAGAAAACCTTCACCGATGCAAATAATTATGATAAACAGCAAATTAAAAGCCAAAATTCACAAAGAAATCTACATACCAGTGTCTTTGGTGAGAATAGCTTTGTAGTACTTCTTCTGCAGTGCTGTGAGACCGTGGTATAACACCACTTCTGACTTCTTGGGAAGATCTTTAAGAACCTCGTTTTTCACTCGCCTCAGAATAAATGGCTTCAGCAGTTTGTGCAGGTCATTGCGGTCTGGAAACCAAGGAGTTTATGTGAAATATATTCAACATTTAAAAACATTTATACAGTTCATTTATTAAAATCAGTGACTATAATGACAGAGCAAGAAATCTATAGTTTTGATGAAAACTAAAGTACATGCCTTCATTAACTCATGTTTAAAGAGCTCCACAGTTGTATCACAAATAGTAATAACAAACAGATGAAATTTTAAGTAAAATTGAGTGATGTAAATACATTGATAAATCAAGGGGATGAGAAGGTCACAAAAACTGAGGGAAGGTTTGCTCTGAAGCCCAAAGAAGCATGGTTCTTATAAATTATAACCTATTTTGAAATGATCCTAAACTACCCCCCCCTTTTTTTCGCAAACATAATTTAGTTCCAGTAGCAAGGGAACAGGAAGGCAGTCTTTTTTATTTACTTTATTTTATCTCGAATGCCAATTTGAAAAAAACACAGAACTCAACTAGTGACATGCAAATTTTGAAATTATTATTTAATTTTTTCATGGTAGTACCTAACAGGTTTATGACTAAAAAAAAAAAAAAAAAAAAAAAAAAAAAAATCCTTGGCAACATGTACCCAAAGTTATTCAAATGCTGTTCTACCTTTACTACTGTTGTCCACATCGCTGTATCTGTCTAGAAACTCCTCCAGATATCTCCACTTGAACACATGTGGTGCCACAAAACACAGCAGTGAGTACAGCTCTGTAAGGTTGTTTTGTACTGGGGTGCCAGTCAGGAGAATATGATGCTCAATGGTAAACTGAAGTTATAAGACAGGTCCAAGTAAGTCTTTTCTCTCCAAAATGTGGAGAATGCTATATATCTACAAATAATTGTAGAGTGTATGAACAAATTTTATCTTTTGTTTCAGTTCCAGTGTGTCTGCTTCTCAATTTCCAAATTTCTGGATATGCACAGCTTAACCTTCATGGTCTAGTGGTACCAAACAATTTAAAAAATATTCATTAATTTTTTCAATCTTTTCATCAGACAGAGGATATACTTTGGTAACTGAATGAATACTGTCACCCAAAATTACATTCAAATATACAAAATTTTTAACATTATCTATTTATCTCATCTTACTCCTTTCAGTGTCTGGTGAAGCAAAGATTCCTGGTTCTTCAGTCTGTGTGCCTCGTCCACCACTAGAGTGCGCCATGGTATTTCAGCCAAAAAACTAGAATCCTTCAGACACACCTTCAATCAAATAGAATCAGCTTATAATGTACCACTTATTAGTGGCTAAACAAACTTATTTCAAAATTCTAAGAGATTTTTTGTTGAAATAGTACATTGTAGGCCAGGTGGTCAGGACTGGTTTGTAACTCTTGGCCTATGCTTAATCTGAATTCTTGCAACTTCCCAAACTTGAAACATGAATCAGTTTGGATTGAGAAATTCTGTTTTTTCTCAACAGTTAAATGTGCTGTCTTAACAAAGTTATTTGCTTTGAATAAATGTAAACAGGAATTAATGACACAAACGTGTCTTAAATCAAGGCAGTAACATGTGGGTCCATTCAGAACCAGCTGATCCGGGGACTAAGTGGTCCATGGATCAAATATGGCGCACATTTGACAATGGATTCCTGCCTCCCACATGTGCAGTCCCTGCAGAGGCAAAGCAATTAAATCTCAGCATGCTTTCAAGTGGGTAGGCCACATTTGATCCATGGACTAGTTAGTCTCCACTCATCTGGTTCTGAACAGGCCCTTATTACATATGGCAACACATGACACACCTCATATGTTGTCAGCAGCACATGGAAGGGGAAGTGGTCGCCCTCTTTCTCTTCCTTGACTTTATCCCTCAGCTCTCCCCTGGTGTCCTTGTCTCCCAGATAACTCAACAATTTCAACTTTGGGGCAAATCTTGAAAGTGGGTACAATAAAGGAAAACAAGCAAACTTAAAATTCATGTGAATTTATCATTAAACTATCCGTAAGGTGTGTTGCTAATTACATATGACAACTAGACCAACTAATGAGTCATCTAAATTTCAACAGCAATGCCACATATGACATTTTAATTCCTTCAATTTGACAGTTTACTGATAATGCCCTTGATAAAATTCTAATAAAATAAGTCTTCTGTTCTCTCAATATGCCTCATGTTTTTTTTTTTTTTTAAGGGAATTAAGGTCTTCTAATATCCCACTAGTATCCACAAACCCCACCTGTTCAGTTCATCTTTCCAGTTCCCTATGACAGACAGAGGGCACAGAATGAGGTGTGGTCCATGGTTCTTCTGGCTGCCATACAGGTACACTAGGAAGGATATTGTCTGAAGGAGATAGGAATAATCTGGCTAATATGTTATGAAAAAAAAAAAAAAAAGTTTAATTCATGATTCATTTCATAGCTTTAGAATCCTGACCCTAGAACACTTTTTTTTCTATGTCATTATTAAATTTACCAAATAAGATTAAATTGAAAAAAAAAAAAAAAAAAAAAAAAAAAAAAATGCATAATGAAATAAGGGTTACATGTAAATATTTGTACTGTGGACCACGAAAGACGGTTCTACAAACCTGACACGTTTTCCCAAGCCCCATTTCATCTCCCAGAATACAGCCGTGGGACCTTGCATATCTCTGTATCAGCCAGTTGACTCCAGACAGCTGGTATGGCCTTAGTTTTATACCTGTCCAGGTGTTGAATTATCAAAATAATGAATAATAAGTGTGCCTAAGGGGTCGACCATTTTATTATGATATTTACAAGTATCAAAGAGTAGGTATTTTCTAGACCCCCTTTCAAAATGTACAAGGCAAAACTCACTTGGGTGTAGATTATCATTTCTATTATTTTTCTAAAAGCGCACACACACACACACACACTGAGAGAGAGAGAGAGAGAGAGAGAGAGAGACTAGCATTCTTAATTCATTACCGACACGTACTTTTGTCAGTTAAGAATTTTACACATGTATTTAAAACAGAAAGCTGTAAACATGGCATATGACTCCGAAATCGAATGTTTCAAGGCAGTAATGGAGGAAAGCCCCAACGAAATGTTCTACACATGTACCTTCGAGGCCGAATTTCTCTAGGTCAGCTCCGTTAACACTTTCTCCGACATCTGCAGAACACAAGTCTTCCACACGTTTTCTTATCCGGTCCATCTCTTACAATTTCACTATTGACGGTGGAATGAAACACATTTTTAAATAGTCACCTATAAGTATGAGACAGGACACCTGCCCGCCCGGGCAGAGCATATCACAGTTAGGCACCGTTTGAACGACCTTGACCTTTTATGAGGTAGTTCGGCATTATACTCGATGCATGCGCAGTTGATATCTCCCCAATTGGGGGAAGGGGGGGGGGGGGGTGACATAAAGGCCATACTACATTGAAAAAGGAACATTATGCACTTTTTATTCCGCCTTAAATTCAAAATAAATTAACAAATCTTCGCACAATAGAAAAATACAAAAGAAAAGGTAGATCAGTAATAGCAGTAAGTTTTAATTCAGAACTATAATCTGACATAATATCCTGCAAAACAAACATCAACGAACTACAATAATAACTTCATAATTATTACTGACACAGATACCAGATATATTTTGCTACTTCTTACATATGCAAATACTTGAGTAAGACTGCCGAAACCATCACAAAGAATAGCAAGCTTGGAGACGACAGGCAACTATCTGTCACATTCATTCTTTGGCATTCTAATAGTTGTAAGGACTTTGATGGTAATAATACATATTATATTCTAACACTACCATGTGAAGTTGTTTTTTTTTAGCAGAGGGTGTTTACCATCAATGATAGAAATCTTAACACTTTCTGATATGTACTGAAATTTATTTCTTGTCTAACCAATTTTTTATTGATGTGACATACCAAAATTCCCCCAATCTATCAATCTGAAAGAAATTCAGCCTTACAGAAAACAGAATATCACTACTAAACAGCTGGTTACCTAACTGGAGATTCATCTCTGACACGCTACCTTTAATACATTAAAAACATATTGCAAAATAAATAAATAAACTGCCAAAATTGATGTATAACAGTGGTTGGTACACATTAAACGGAAATGGTCTACAATCTCAAAACTAGAGATCCATTTGCACAATGGGGGCGTCTCGATAGTCCGAAGGTTCATTGGTCCGAAGGTTCATTGGTCCGAAAAGTGGTAACATTTTTATCGATTTTTTAATCAAGGGTTCATTGGTCCGAAGGTTCTACAGTGAACATTCGGACCAATGAACCTTCGGACTATTGAACCTTCGGACTATCGCTACGGCCCCTGCACAATTTATACTTTATACAATGTCTTTCAGCAACATCTTTGAATTTGCTTGTAAGTTCCCACAATGACACCATATAGTCATGAATCTACAAAGCTACAGCACCAAGTTTTAAATAAATGTCATGGTAAACTAATAATATACACAATAATGGCTTGAACTCCCGACAAAATGGTTAAGGTTTGAACCTAAAATAAGGCACACATCCATCAATAGAATATATCAGTTTACAATCTTACATAAAAACTTGACATATCAGGTTTTTACAGTGAGGACCTACCATCCTAAATGTTTTGGAGCATTTTTTTCTGTGCAGCATTTTAAGGAAAAATATTTTCCACTCTTGAAATCTCTGTGCCATTTCAACAATTAAGAAAGTAATACAAACAGAATGTACATAAATATATATACATATAACATTTATACAAAAGGATAAATATGCTTTGAATGTGAAAAACTGTATACTGCATTTTTACATGTGGGGAGAAAAAAAAAACAATGACTCTAAGATAGTGTTCAGATAAACCAATTGTACTAGCTGTATCGATCCAACTCTAGAGGAGATTTTCCCTTAGTGCAATCACTGTAATTGGCTTAAATGTCTAACACGCCTCCTCAATTTGCTAGGAGGTAATAACCTTATTAACTAGCTACTCAAGGAGACGTGTCAGGCAATTAAAGCTGATTACACTGAATGCACTTTAGTGTACTGGCAATAAAGTAATGTTCATCAGAGGCAGGTACAAACAATTTTTCGAACCAATGAACCTTGGGCGCCCCCTATATATATATCAGCAAGGATATGGAGTTGTCAATTTCTCAAAGTGGACCAGGCCAGTTTCAAGTACATTCACTGCTTTGTAGTTCTATATAATTGTGCACTGTAAACTGAAATTATAACATAAACAATCCACTTGGGTAAACTATGCAATGTTCTTTACAATAAACTGCAGACAACAATAATTCTTTACACGTCCAACTTCACATCAAGAGATATACTCTAGTGATACAGACTGTACCGATACACTCTGACATTAAGTTCTAACATGGTATCACACCACAAGGATGTTTACTCCCATTCACAGGTTCTCCATACTAATAAATTGCCCATCTTTCCAAGTGTGCTGGTACAGACTATTGCTAAAATATACTGCCCCATGTGACAGTGGCTCTGGACGCAACAGTTGCCATGACAACCTTGCAATATACTCTTCAATTCATATATGGTTAACATTTATGTTCTGTACCCAGTGAAGTGATTGGACAAATACCAACTCATCACATGGATTATTGTTCTGCACAGAAAGCAGTCTGGAGTAAACTCACACCAGGCATCATACATCTAAACTCTGGTATTTGGTGGTTTGTTGGTGTGGATATCATCCCTTCTGGATGAAGTCAACGTCTGTGCAAATATACGGGGAACGGCTTTACAATAAAAGCAAGTTTACCTTATTGATTTTGGCCTGTTTTTATTCATTCCAAAAACACACTGCCTTTCTCATGATGTTCACTCTGTATTTGAACAAACTTGGAGGTGCAAATCAACATTCCATGCAAGACAATTTATCATTGATTTAGCCCCAAACAGCTACTTTTGTCCTCAACAGGAAATTTGTCTGGTTTCTGAGGGCTCTACCTAAAACCCATTTCTTTTTTCTTTCTATTTTCACTTATTTTTACACTGGGAGTCTTAAAAATACGAGGACCCCAACAAAATTAATAATTAGCATCCTAAAATTCACATTTTGCAGATCTCTGTGTTGAGTTAGAATAACCTGGCATATAGTCTGTGCCGCCCCCCCCCCCTTTCCCCGACAGAGTCAGACAGTGCAGGTCTTATATATAATGTATCATGAGCATTTTGTGACTGCTTTTCTCTCCATGTTTTAACCAAAGGCAATTCTTTTGTCCAAGGTTGTCAACTCCAGACATTTCCACGCATATCACGCATTTGAACTATTGATTTTTGTTGTGTAAGCCATCACTCCATCACCAAGGACACGAGTCAATGACATATAAACCAGATATGGTTACAACTCTTTAAATCAAGACAGACTTGGTTTTGAAGTAAAATGTCAAAAATATCAGTTGTAAGTGTCAAGAAAGAAGTCTGGGATCATATGTTATTGTGTCTGACTATACTGAGAAAATTTTGAAAAAATGGTAAGACGGTGTTTGAAATATTTCGGTAAATTTTAAAATTTCTCGCTTACAATGTTGACAACCCTGAACTTCTCAAATTTTACCAAAAAAGTGGCTCAACCATAAAATATAAACAGTAAATATATTCAGTTAGCAGTTTTTAGCGTAACGTAGAAGACTATCTAGGGAAACATCTTCTTTAATTTCAAATCCTTTGTGTCCAAACTCCACAGCAATCTTGACATTCTCTAAGTCATCGTCAAAGAGCAGAATTTCCCCTGGTTTTACCATTAGGTGGTATCTGTTATAGAGCTCAGTCACCACTGATGCTATATGCTGCTCCTTGCCTGAAAAAACAGAAAATAACCACCAGGATTAGATAGGAGTCTCAATGAGAACAGAACAAATGCTATTTATAGGACAAAATTGAAGGATTCCTGTAGCTTTACACCGTAAAAATGACCAGAGAATTTGCACTTGCAGTCAGATAGAAAATTATTCTGTGCTGGTGTTAAGTACAACCATTCAGTGCCTTTATGATAAAAATAAAAAATTTCATCAGTTAACCTGGTGGAGCACTAGCAGAAAGCTTAATTTAACACAGATCTTTCTCTACCAGAAAACCTTCCTTTGCCTTCCTACTTCTTTCATACCCAGTAGAATTCTCTGTGATTAATAATATCATTCCCAAAATAAAAAGATGTGCATTTTAGGATAAATATGTGGAGATTTGGCATGCAAAAATAAGCAAATAAATAAATAAATAAAATATTTTAAACCTTCCAATTAATTCCATATTGTTACTGGCTAAATTTTATCTGATTCCAAACTCAGAAATATTCTTTAAAATATCTTATGCCTCGTCTTTTTTTAATTCACTTGGTTTAAACTAAGACAGTGGTTACATACTTTCCTTGTATTCTCACTTTGTGTTAAATGAAACAATCTCTTGCAGCACTATCAATTTCATTTTTTAAAGGGAGATATATATGTCTTCAGGACAAAAACAGGTACTTAGTGATGTTAATTAGTTGAGAAGAGAAAATGCCACGAGTATATTTTTGGATTGATCTTTCTGCTAACAAATTATACTTGATCAATCATTCAAATATTCATGCAGGGTTACAAATCTGATAAACCCAAAATATGATAGAATCAGACAAGAAGCCTCGCAAATTATGAAATCCCATGGAAAATCAGATGTAAGGATGTTTTTGTGTCTGGGCAAAATCCCCGAAATCAGCAAATCCCCTGAATAATCACATTCCTAGAAATGCATTATGAGTGGCTTAGATTCATTTTAAAGAATAACAAGGTTTATAATGTATTCAATAATTTGACATTTGTGATTTATCCCTGACACCAAACTGATAGTAATTACCAGGAGACACTACAAGGAAGATTCTCCAAGTGTTGGCTCATTCAAAATATATAAACAGTTACAGGAATGCAAATCTATCCCATTATATAACCAGACCTTGCTTTTTTACTAATGGAAAACATGGTCAACAACAATGATAGGGAAAGAGATTAAATAAAACAAGTGTAAATGGCACTTTTCGGGATTTATTTCTATTTTCAGACAGTCTGAGCATGTTTATATTTTGTCTATTACCATCATTACTGTACAACTACTGTGCTCACTCCAACATATAGAATTCTAAATACACTCTATTGTGGCTAAAAGAAAGCAAAAATCTATTCTAGAATGTGTCCAATTTCTCTGTACTTCAAGCCAGAGTTATGATGTGATGGACATTTTGGAGCTATTTGGAAATAATATGAACTAGAGGATCAGAGAGGCGATACCGCCTCCTGGTATTGTACCACCAGCTGGAGTAAGCACATTCGAATGGGAAGGAAAAAGAAGGGGGAGGGGTTGACAAGCTGCATGAAATGCAGTAAACAAGGGTTATCATTTTTTATAGATAATTATTATATTTTTAAATCAGGTAGGAAAAAGTTAAAGGTCAAATACAAGGATGNTATACAGAGAGAACAAACCTACACCCTCCCCCTCCCCTTGCATCCACCAACCCAAACACCCCTCCCCCCTCACACCCATCCCTCTCCCTCACAATCACACACACCCAGCTACCCATGCACCCTTCCTATATACGCACACACATACGTACACACGTGTACACACTCACACACACTCATGACTCAAGCAAACACACACACACACTCATACACACACACATGCACTCATACACATGCACACACACACACACACCTCAACCCACACATGCAGACATACTGTAAGGAAAAATAGCATATATAAATATTACCTAGATTAGTCAAGCCTGCGACGGGGGGTAGCTCTTTCACCCAGTCCCTGGTGCTGGCTCTAATCATCACTTTACTTATATCACTGGAAAAAAAAGAAAATATATCCACATTATCGCCTGGAGGTGTGAGGTGCAGATTACAGAGAGAAAAAACTACAGAAAGACAAGATTAAAAAGTGGACAGATATGAGCTTTTCCCAGATGGAATTAGAGAGACAGAGGCCGAAAGAGATTAAAACCGCACATCAAAGGTGTCCGAGGTTATCTGACGCTTGCACCTGTAAGTGGCATATCTTAGCACTGCTGTAAACCAGACCATATGCTGGGTAGAATCAAAATCACTCCTTTCAAACTCTGGTTGTGACACAGGGAAGATGAGTCAGACTGGGTTCCCATATTTAGATCGATCCATCTGGATCGATCTCAACTCCCTGGGGGTTCACGGTAAATTGCTATCAGCTCAAGAGGCTTAAATGTCTGTCATGCCTACCGAATCAGCTACTAGTAGGGGTAAAGATAATTACCCCCTAACAGTTTTACTAGGCGTGACAAATGTTTAAGCCAGCCAGTTTGATGGCAATTAAGTGAGACTCCCCAGGGAGATAGATCGATCCAAATATCTGTGGGAATGGTCCCTATATGGTGGATATAGGAAAAACACCATAACTGGGGTTGCACTAACACTCGCCAATTTAGCCAAATGCTAAAACTGACTTAAGTTGGCTAAACAAACAAAAGGTTGATTTGACTTGTTTTAGTCAAATTTCAACGATTTGGAGAAAAAAATGATGAAAAAGTAGTGATTTGGCTAAGAGAAAAAAACTGCCAGTGCCACCCCAGCATAAGAACTCAGAAATTCAGGGCATGATACAATTTGGGCATTTTATGAAGCAAGCAAAAGAGAGAGACCTTCAGGTCATTACAACTCTGCCATTAGCTACTACACTTATCTCTGCCAGTGTGGAATTCCAGGCCTTACACTAATCTAAATACCCTTTCAAAATGTACAGTACATTTATTCTTAACTAATTCAAGCCTAAAAGCATCTAGCCTAATTGAAAAGTTCAACCTGTGCGTTTACACTCTGTGAAATGTAGATTGCAATGCCCCTGAAAAATAGGCAAAGAGTACACCAAGGCCCTATTCAGAATAGGGGACTAACTAGTCCGAGGGTCAAAAATGGCCGACCCACATGAATACTTCCCCAAGGGATATCTATTCAGTGCCTATTAGTGGATTTGATAGCAAGTTTTGTAGTGGGTGGCCATATTTGACCCCCGGACTACTTAGTCCCCTATTCTGAATGGGACCTATAACTAGTCATAAATGGACATCAAAATACTGCAAATAACAAACTACACACAATAAGATTAAGGATCCAGTAAAATAGCAATGATCCAGAAACCCTACTTATTCTTCAGAATATTTAGTGCATAACAAGCTGGTCATAAAACAGATGCACAGAGATTCAAGTGCAATCAGGCTTATCTATGTTTTTTGATGTGTACAACACACACTTAGTGTGAGCACATGTTGTAGGCATAAGAAAACCTAGGGCTGCAACATGAGAGGGAGTGAGAAGGGGAGAGAGAACAAGGAAGAAAACAATGACTGGGGGGGGAGGCAAGAGGACAGGCAGAGAGGAGGAAATTAGTGAAAGCCACTTCTTATATATTGTCCTTAAAAAAACATTCCTTGATCTTATTGGCTGTGTGTGCTACGCACTCTTTTTGACTAAAACAAATTCACCCCCCCACCGCCATCCTCCCCCCCCCCCCTTTCAAACATCACTATTTTGGTCTATATTCTTTATGTCCTGTGTTCCTTAAATAGTTTCTGAACCCAACAGGAAAACAGACAAATATCTTTCATGATATCTTTTCATGATATCTAAAAATATGCCTTGCTACCCGTACTGTTAGCCGGGATAAATCAGAGAGTTCTGGTATTATTGCAAGTGGAAAATCTTTAAAATTTTAATCTTTGATAAAAAAATTTTGACAATTCCTCAGTTATAGAACATTATTCAAAAGGTTTCTAGTGTGTGACTAAAGCCACGTCCATGGACCATTTCATGTTTATAATTTTCCTCCTGTATTTTTATGACTTTAAAGAACCAGACTATTTGAACACAAGCCAAGCTTAGAATTTCACTGCTACCAAAATTAGCATCAGGATTAGACCAGTGGATAAGCAATCAGCACTCAGGGATAATAAAGTGTTACTCATTCTCTTTAAATATTCATAATTGCTTCCTATTTTTTGTCTATAGTGGGAAGTACTTGCAGCATCAATATTGTGAATGTGCAAGGGCCACTATTTTGAGGAAGTTACCTTGCAATTTTTAAAATTTCTAGAAAATCCAAAACACTAAGAATGTAGTTCTAAAAATTTTAATGCACTGTAACTTAACATGAATGCCCTTGCTCTTGAACTTCTACACAGCATAAAAAGGAAACCTCCGACTAGTAATCAACAACTACCCTGTTACAGGGATCTCAAACTATAATGAAGATAGATGAGCCGACTTTCTAAGTAATAGGTGGTGAACAAGGCACCACCTTCAGTGACATAATAACAAGAAATAAACTTTCCAGCATACACCTTGTTCAACAACCACAAAACAAATTTGACTTATTGCCGCAGAGAATGAGACTTCATAATTTTTTTTTTTTTTTTTTTTTTTTTTTTTTTTTTTTTCCAAGGCATTGGGAACATGGTGTAATTTTTGCTTATTTTTACAGAACAAAAGCAAATTCAGCACAGCTCAAGAAATAAAACCTCTACCAACTATAGCACAACCTGTAAGGTGGACCATTACAACTGAACCATATCTCCTACGTGAGCATTAAATCATGTCTTCTCCCTCAAAACATAAAGGACAGGGCTGAACTTAAATTATTTCTATTATACAAACAGGTTATGTCAAAAAGAAAACTATGCCGACACACAAATCCAACAAGGAGCAATATTCACTTTAAATTTTAAATCAAAACATTTTATAGTTTTCTATACATTAAAAAACCTTAAACTGGTTATGGTGGAAAAGTATACTTGCAAATTTATAGTATTAAAATGCTAAAACTGTAAACAGACAACTGTTTAACTTTAATGAAACCTGCTAACACAGTCATACCTACACTTAAAGGCAACTCGACCTACATGTATCAGACCTGTTATTCTTACAAGATGCTATTCTGAGGGGCAAGAAATATACCATAAAAATACTCTGCTTTATCTAGGAACAGTCACAGCAAATCAAGTGGCTGATACATCAATGCAGCCACCTGGATATATCACTTCAGAAACAGTTTTGAATAAAATAAATAAAAGAAACACAGAATTCACCATGCATTGCTCATGGGGTGATGAATATAAAAACATTCCATCAACAATTATTATTAGAAATTACAACAATATATGTATATGCAGTTTACAAACCTCCTGGAACATTTAATGGTTTGTTCCCAATGACACATTTCTTGTAGAATTATCCTGTACTGCAGCAACTTTTGCTGAATGTAATCAGATTAACACGCCTTCTCCTGGCAATGAGGAGTAGACAGAAAGCTGGTGATTATGAGTATGTTTGTTATTGGAAACAAGAGGAGGCATGTTAATCTGATTGCATTCAGCAAAAGTCCCCATGGAGTTGGCTCAATCTATGTAGAACGATATTTGCACTGGGAATGGACCCTTAGCTTATTACTTGATGTTTACTGTTTGCATTTCATCTATCTAGTCTCCTTGTATGCCAGAAATAGTGTGTACTAGTATACTCATACCCAGTGCTAACATCACTTACCAAACTGTGACAGAGAAGAGCTGGGGTTGAGAGGATCTAGATTTATTCAAAATTATCAAAAGTAAATGTGTTGATATTCACCATGTACAGCATTGGTGAAATATATCATGAATCCACATCTATGAAATAAAATTACCTATGTGGCAAGGCATGTTTGAGCACTTCCCTGATCAATTCAGGCTGCTGGGAGTAGGTAACCACACAGACGTGGATTAAAGTCTCAGCTAAGGCTGCTTTAAGTGCTGCTTTGAAGCAGGGACGCACGTACTCGGCCAAAGTCTCGGCTCCTCTCCGCCATGCTCCCGCCGTGTGCACCGACACTATCGTACGGTCAAAATCTATAGCAAGTAATGTTATACCCTTCTCCTTTAGTGTATTGACGAGAATCTTTGCTTTGGCCATTTCATCCTCTTGGACTGTCTTTGGTGTTGTCCCTGGCATTGTGATTGATTTGGAGAAAACAGCTACTTATAAGGAAAGAGATCGTCGTCTTCAGCGGGACTCCATGTTTGTTTTGACAAATGAAGGGTGCATCAGATGTTGCCGAACTGTGAGACGACCATTGCAGTAGAGAAGATGAAAGCATTGAAAATGCGTTGTTCTTGGTTGAATTCAAATAATATTTTAATTCTAAAAAGTGCAATTATCGACTGAATATGAATAACTTCTTCCCCCGCTTGCTTCTCTATCTTATGCTTTGGGATGTGCCAATAATTTTATGACACTTTAACTTTGGAAGCAAGTGCACTTTAGTTTTTAGCTTCATGACTTTTTGAGCTTTTCAAGCATGTACTGTAAAACTGAACATTCACAAGAAATGAGAATAATTACTGAAACAGACTAAAAGGTTATACTGCCTAACTTCACTGGCAATCACTTACCTACACTGACATCAGCAATCTTTACCAATAAAAAAAAATTGTAAACGGATATTAAATTCATAAAAAAAGTCAGCCATGTGCCTCATTTAGTGAAATACTGGTAGAATTTTGACTTCCCTCCATTATTTTCATTGCAATAACAGTAATTGAAGTGCCAAATCAATTATGCAAATATTACACAAAACATATGTCACTGAGGTAACTCAAACGTTTACTTTTGTGTGGACTATCCCATACTGTATATCAAGTATATATAGAAATAAACACCAGTCACCAGTACCCTAGGTTCTAGATTCCGGTATTGCCAGCTCGATCTTGATTTCATATATAACCCATATCAACAATACCGGCTCTAGTGACCAGCGGCCATGTTACACTTCCATCAATCAAATAGAACTGCTCCGCAGTGAATCTGCAGTTGAATGTCATCAGACCAAAATGAAACGTAAAACAGATTTAATTCTGCTTTATTTAATTTTATTTGCTGTATTTAAGATGTAAAGTGAAAAAATAAATAATATTCTTCGAACAGAAAAGATATATCCAATGTTTTTGCTTATCAAAGAACATTTAGTCCTGAGATGTACACGTGCTTGCCGTGTGCCAAATTTGACAGCTACACTGTATGCCCGATACCACTATAAGGGCTGCGCAATGGCTACACCAAAATCAGTTTTTAAAGCAGAATGTTGCTTCTATTGTGGCACTGACCTTCGACTGCAAGATATTTTCAATTCAAACTTCGTCAGGCACTTTGCTTCTTGTCTCGTCTGCACGAGATAACTTCAGCGCGAGGCGGGAAAGGCAGC